GTTGGGGTGTAGAGCTGCGGTTTAGGGTTTAGGGTTTAGGGTTTATAGGGTTTAGGGTTTAGGGTTTAGGGTTTAGGGCTTGAAGGATGAGAGGTGTGGGGGGGGACCTTCAAGCTTGGAAAGTCAGCGCCGCGCCTCAGTTCCATGCCACGGCCGCGGCGTCGGCTCCCGCGGATGCGTTTGGGGCAGATGTTCTGGCTTGAACTGTCGGTCTACCTTAAACCCTAAAAACCCTAAACCCTAAATCCTAAACGGTCTGGGTCAAGAAACACAGCTGCTCCCTCCTGCTGTGGGAGGTGGAACTAAGTGTCGCTGAGCGTGCTGGGCACCTCCACTTGAAGCATCGTGGCTTCCTCTGCTTGGTGTCTCCGCTCCGAAACCGTACACGCTGAACTGCCCGTCTTTCCTTCTGTTGCTTGACTGGAATGCCTCATCCATGGCCCCGTATGCCCCGTCATGGCTTGGCCACGCTGGAGCCGGAGAGCTTGGTCTTGCAGCTGCGCCAACAAAAAGGCTCTAGTCTTCTTTTTGAAGAGAGGGCTAGTTATATTCGTTGGATTAAATGGAAAGAATAGACCCTATGGGGTTATACCTTTACGAAAAATCAGTGCGCACAAGTTTATTTGTTACTCCAATTGGCGGTCAACTTGTTTCTTGAATGAGTTCTATTACTTAAAGGTCGGGAACGTTACAAGCCCCACCCTACGTTCCAGAAAAGTGCAAGTAATTTGGTTAACATAACTCGAGGCCAAGTATGAGTTTGAAGTGGTATTGTTTGCGTGGCCGGGAATGATGAGAAGGAAGGAAGGATAGCTGCTAACCGACGCGAGAACATTTCTAATCAGAGGACAGTTGCTCATTCTCGCCTTCTAGTTGGGGCTGTCTATACTCACTGAATTACAATAACAACGTTAACGATCTCTCATATAAAGTGTACCGAACAGAAAGCATACGAGCTTTCCCTTCCAACTAGAAAGTCGTTCCCCAAGTTTAGAATGCAACCGTAGTGGTTGGGTTGCTTTATATACTTGGATGTTAAGTGCATTTCTTGAACAAGCTCGACTGTTTAAACGGTCAGGATAATTGGAAGAGAATGCAGGACAGCTTGCAGACAGATGGAGCAAAATTCAATCATGTCGAAGGTTAACAAGAAATATTGCTTCTCAGGGCAGCACCGAGACTGGACAAAGAGCGAACCTGCAAGTTCAAATAGGCCCTCGAGTGAAGCCGCCTACTTCTCAAAGGGCGGCACGAAACTAAAGCTGGCATACACCGCTCCCTGTGTTCACACACTTCGGGGGAGCAAATTGGGTCCATTTATTAGCAGTTGTAGCTTTGTTGGGCCCTCTCCTTGCCACGATTCAGTTCACAACCCGCCTAGCTTCTCTCATGTATGTGGGGGGCATTATGAAAACAAGCAGCCTTACTTTATGTGCTGTCGGACTCCCATGAAGCCGCAGGTTCTTGCATTCATTATTCTTACTATTATTGTGACTATGATGGCTATGTTGTACATTATGTGTTGTTATCTTGTATAATCTCGAATATTGCTATGATAAATTTTGCATGCTATGCATGTATTCTCTTCCGTTAGGTATGACTACTTGTGCTGCAACCCTGGAAGCCCCCAAGGCTTGTAGCCACTCAGCCGCGCTCCAATCCTTCATTTTCGGGGCCTCTTCGGCAGCCGTTGGGAGACATTAAGCTCTCTGCTCTTTCCTGGGACGCAGGTTCTATGCTGAGCACACATACCCTTAAGGGTTTGGGGTTTGGGGTTTAGGGTTTAGGGTTTGGGGTTTAGGGCTGAGGGCTTAGGGGTGCTTACGCCATTGAGGGGGGATCTGTATAGGCAACTGCGGCACCAGGCACTTTGGGCGGTTAAACTCGGGTAGGCCAAGGTCGCAAATCCCAGCAGGAGCGCCTCATTGAGCTCTCAGGGGTGAAACTGGCAAGCATCTTGCTTGCACGCGGAAGGATGGGATTGTCCTAGATTATTCTTGTGGTTCCAGTTCTCTTTAGTCTTTATTCGCGTTCTTCCCAGTATCGTTTTCTTCTTTTGTGGTTCCTACCTTTTATTTATACTATTCAATTGTTTTCTGATGTTTTCTGCTTAGGCCCCCTTTTGTGTCTCGATCAGGCGGCCTTTCGGGTCCCTCAGATGGCAATGCCCTGATGTGGGTGACTCCTCGGCGCACATGGGGGTGCGCGGTTTTGATCCCAGCGTCGGGGCTGGGGTAAGGAGGCACCTGACAGAACCCCTTAAGGGGCAATGTATAAGGGGATAGAAGGTGCCTAATTGCCAGCTTAAGTTGAAGGCTTTGGAGGTCACCAACCTTTTGACCCTAGGCAACTACAACTACCGATGCCGAGACAAGGGCCTCAATCCTTGGAAAGGCACACCGACCCACCCATGGTCGCAGGGCCAAAGGGGGTCTGGGTTCAGGGTTTAGGGCCAATCTTCCCTCAGACGTTCTTGAGTACCGTTTGGAGGGGGGGAGGTATGGAGGGACCCTCACTCAAACAAGACAAAGGCAACCTTAAACATCACGGAAGCTGAAAACAAGGCCCTGAGAACCTGCCACCCCGAGCACCACGTACGATCTGCGCTCCTCCAGCGAAAGCGATACCCCAAAGTGGTTCAAGCACCCTCAACCAAACCCTCTTTAGTCGACCAGAAGGGGAGTTTAGTGTGCCGATGCAACCCTAAACCCTAAACCAGTTCATGGCGCGTCGCAGTTCCGATGTGGCGAGGGTCTCACGTCTCAGGGCTTCTAAGGCATTGAGGCCCTTGGCTCGAACAGGCACCTCTTAGGTTTCCAGGGGCAAAGCGTTGGGGGATGTGCGGAATTAAGTTTTAAGCACCTTAGGGTTTTAGGGGTTTAGGGGTTGGCGGCTTTAGGGGTTTAGGGTTTTTCTGGGTTCAGGGCTTTTCGGGGTTTAGCGGTTTGGGGGGTTTAGGGCTTTTCGGGGGAAAGGGGTTTAGGATGCTTTGGGCTTTAGGTGTTTCTAGGGCTTGGGGCGCGTCAAGGACACTGGGTCCGCGGGCGGGGCCACGAGGCGAGGCTGCGCGCCGCTACAGCTGGCGATGCACTCCAGGGCCTGTGTCTCTCAGCAAGGGGGAGACCCCACACCTCCTCCCAAAACCAAAACGGCTTAGGGCGTTTAGGGTGTTTAGGGTTCAGGGTGTTTAGGGTAAAGGGTTTAGGGTGTTGTCGTAAATGGGCGTGTATGCTGAGGAGTTTTGTTCAAAGAGGGTGACATCGAGTGCATCGTGCCATGCGATATGCTGTGAAAGCCTGACAGTGGACGGCATCTCTCTCTCACAAGGTTGTGAATGCATCACATCCAGAAGTGTTGCGCAGCTGTCCAAGCAGCCCGATGCTTCGTTTTGATGATCGAGAGCTATTCTTTCTTTCATCCAACCCCACGCCGTCTATACGTGACTAAGGTCGAGCAGCTTAAGCACCCCCCCCCCCCCCCCCCCCCCAAGAAGGCCCTGACTAACCGATAGCAATCCCGTCACCCCAATGCCCCTTAAAGGGTGATCGAAGCAGATTATATAAAGTTACTACGTACTATTAGCTACCTCAAGGAGTCCCTCAACGGGATTCTACACGGTACCTAGTTCCCCTTTCCCTGGGGAACAAAGACCCTGAATCCTTCACCCTAAGCTCCGCAGACTGGCTTCTCCTAAACCAAGTTCCGGGCTGGGGTATCTTCTGCTTCTGGCCCTAAACCCTCAAACCCCAAACCCTAAACTCTAAAACCCTAAGACCCTAACCCCAAATCCTAAACTCCCGTGCACGCTCCAGCCTTTTCACTGATCTCGTGGCCTTCCAGGCTCAGCTGGGGCACCAGAGCTTGGTGCGACCTCGGCGAGGATGGTCAGGGATCTCCAGGGAGTTAAAAATTTGAACCGCCAAAGATGTACCCCTCAGAGGTTCTCCTAATCTTCCCTCAGAGGATCTTTTAAAAGAGGTCCCCAAACCCAAGGGTACAACCTTAAGTGTTCAAGGGAGAGTCCCATGAGGATAAGGGTCTTGTGCGCGTAAAGGGCTAAGGAGCCACAGCAGTTCCCCAGGTCGCCTACCATCTTGAGAAAAAGGTTCAGGAAGATTCCCAAAAACTAGGCCACGGCGTGGAACGTCCGGTTTTGGGTTTAGGGCTTAGGGCTTAGGGTTTAGGGTTTAGGGTTTAGGGCTTAGGGGTAGGGTCTAGGGTTTAGGGTTTTGGGGGACTGTTCCCTGCATGAGCGAAGAGGATCCCTGCATGATTTAGGGATCATGCCCCTGGGCTCCTCCTGCCATATCCCGGGAAGCGGGATGCGGGGAAGTCCCTAAACCTCCGCCTGCATCCCAGGCCCCGTACACCCCTAAACCCTAAACCCTAAACCCTAAACCCCTAAGTAACCCCTCATCCCCCTAAAGCCATTTTTCAAAAAAAAAAATAATAATAAAAGGGACAAGTTTGAGAGGCCCCGGCGCCGCGTGCGTTGGAGGCGCCTGGCACGCTTGGGAGCGTTTGGGTGCTTCGCTTGAACCCTAAGCCCTGAACCGCCGAAACCCTAAAGCCTGAACTCTGCCGTTGGGGTTCTTTGGCTTTAGGCTTGCAGCTCTACTTTTGTGATGTCGGCTTCCGGGCATAAAGCCTAAATCGCTGAGAGCCCGGAGCCGCGAAGCTCGTGAAAAGGCTCAAAGAGCTTCAATGTGTTCAGAGATCACTGTAGCCATGCCCAGTGGAGCTTTGCAGGACGCATTTCGTTCCAACCGTGCGGCGGATGAGGAAAGCAGCTAGCATTCGGGGGAGGCTTCGGGGTCCACGACAGTGGCCGCTTGTGAACTCAGCAGACTTTATTCATGGAATGGATTGCAGCATGTGACATCACGACAAGCAGTAGCATGAACTTAACACGTTCGCATCCTAATGCTCAACTCTTCATACTGCTTTTCTAGCTTCAGAACCCTAAGCCCTCAACCCTAAGACGCAGCTCAACAGGCGTCTCACTCGGCTTTCGACTTGGAAGAGGACCCCTCCGAAGTTCTCAGAAGCAGCAGGAGCCAGGGGTTGACGGCAATGAAGCCTTGGCTTGCTTCAACTCTGCCATACAAAACAAACCACATGGTCAGTTCTCAAAATAATGGGTCCCTTCTTGCAGGGAACCTTAGATGCCTTAAGTAGGAGGGGCCGCCTTAGAATGAGGACCCCGCAAACGGGACCATAATTGAGAGAAAAGGCCATATCAGCTATAAGTTACTCTACTATTTTTGTATTCCGCTCCTGGCTGCAACCCAGAAGCCCATAATGACGTCCACCTCGATGCGCTTGAGGGACGGTAGCACGTGCCGTCGCGGCAGCACGTTTGCCCTGTACAGCGTGCCCATAAGTACGGCCTCCATCGCGTGGGCGACGATGAGGCCCCACTTCTCCGGCAGAGACATGGCGGCTCCGCGCGCGAAGCCCACAAAGCGAAGCACGACCATCGTCGAAAGGAACAAGGTCAGGAGAACTTTGACGTCGTCGTTAGAGTGGCGCGGCGCGATGAAGAGCGACACGTCGCAGGGCTGCTCCTGAAGCGCCCATAGCCGCGTCAGCGGCAGCAGCTCAATGGCAGAAAGGACGAGAAGGAGCCACTTCAGTAGGTACATTCCCGCCCCCGCGCTACGTCGAACCTCTCGATACCTGCCCTACTGCATACGGCATAGTGTATGGTGCCCCATATGTGGCTGAGGTCGCCTGCACTGACTAAACGAGGGAACGAAGAGACGCTACGAGGTGGTCGGCAGCTGTGCTTTTTCGTCTACCGACTGACCGCACTGAGCGTTTCGAGAGCGCAACGTAGTGTCGCGCCCAAAAAGCAAATCAAAAAGTAAGCGGTTGGAGAGATTGCTGGTGTTACCGTTGTCGTTCTGGAATTCGGGCTCTTCTTCTTGCTATCATCACTTTTCTTGCTGCGATGCCCATCGTTACACGACTGCCACTGCTACCTGAAACGGTTCACACGTCTGAAAAATGATCTGCTACTTTGGCAAACGGCAGCAGGAAGTGAGGAAAGAAGTTGTGCTGCTTGGTGTTTGCTGCTACTTTGTGCCTTGCCAAGCCTGGTTCTGGCTGTGGTAAGGAATTGTCGGTGAGCTGACCTCCAACGCTACACCTTCTTCGAGAGGTGAACAGGCCCTCGGCATTCTCGAAAGGACAGCAAATGGCCTTTGGGGTTCTGGATATGGGGTTCTGAAGCTTGAAGCCTACAGAGCTTGCTGATAGAGCCCCATTGATTCGGCTGTCTATGCTGTTGCGGCCAACGCCCTCCAGAATTCTTCCATCCCGCACTAGCAAGTCACCTCACTGTGGTACAACACCACCCTGAGCTTCATGAAACGTGACAACCAAAGCACAGATGCTGCCAACGGTTTCGGAAACGGGTGAGAATGGCTGCTTGCTGCAATCCCAAAGTGAACCTCTTCCGAAAGCTTGCTGCAACCCTAAAGCAAGTAGAAAGTTCTGAACCCCAAGCCCCTATCCTAAAGAAAGTAGAAGGTAGTGAACCCCAAGCCCCTCAACCTCAGAGAACGGCTCATGAGACTACGAAGATGGGCGCCGAGGCAAGGATGGGCCTGCAGGCTCTCCGCCGCCACATCTGGCTCCTCCACCTGTGTGCTAAGCGATGCTCCATCCGGACATCTTGGCGGTTTGGGGTTTGGAGTTTGGGGTGTGCACCCTGAACCCTAAACCCTAAACCCTAAACCCTAAACCAGCTTGCCAATTTCAGGGTTTTGGGGACTCAGAGGGTTTAGGCGGTTTAGGCGGCGAGTCATGCAGGCTTGCGGGCTGCCTCTTCGCTCCTCCCTCCTCAACCGCAAACCCTAACCCCAAACCCTAAACCCTAAACCCTAAACCCTCAGCCTTCGAGCCCAAACCGAAAAGGACCCCCCCAAAACGCCTCCTCGGTCGTGTTCGTGCGGAGCGTTGCCTGAAGGCACTTTGGGGACGGGGGGTGAGGGTGGGGGGAACCCAGAGCAGACTTGGGGTTTAGGTTTTCAGGGTTGAGGGTTCAGGGTTCAGGGTTTAGGGTTTAGGGTTTAGGGTTTAGGGTTTAGGGTTCAGGGTTCAGGGTTTAGGGTTTAGGATTCAGGGTTCAGGGTTCAGGGTTTAGGTGGGAGATGATCTGATTGAGGTGTGCAGGGTGTTCAGGGTCTAGGGTTTTCGGGGCTTGGGCCTGGCCCGGCAAAGCACAATTCCCTGATGTATACATCCATGTCAGGGGCAACATCATGCAAGGTCCTCAACAGCCTGAACCCGAGACCCTAGACCCTAAACCCGAAAGCCTAAAACCCAAAAGCCTAAAACCCTAAACCTAAACCCTAATCCCTAAATCCTGAACCCTAAACCCCAAAACCCTGAACCCTAAACCCTAAGCCCTAAGCCCTAAGCCCTGAACTCAGCCGGCCTCGTGGGTCGCCACATCTTTGAGTCGCCTCGGGGCAGCTCGGGCCCGGGGAACGCGAGCGGCCACGGAGCCTGACATCTTCAGCTTAGGGTTTAGGCTTTAGGCTTTAGGCTTTAGGGTTTAGGGGCTTAGGGTTTAGGGTTTAGGGTTTAGGGTTTAGGGTTTAGGGTCTAGGGTCTAGGGTTTAGGGTTTAGGGTTTAGGGCTTATGGGGGTTTAGGATTTTCGGGGTTCAGGTTTAGGGGCTTAGAGGTTTAGGGATTCGTGTGTAGGTTTAGCCTATTGGAGGGCCGGCCCTCTCGTTCTTCTTGACACCCAAACCCAAGCCCTAAAAGCCTGAAACCCTAAGTCTATGAACCCTATCAACCCCCCTACCACCCTAACAACCTAAACCCTTAAAACCCGAAAACCCTATACCCTAAACCCCCCTAAATCCTAAGACCCCAAAGAGCCAAGCCTTCGCCAGGGTGGAGCTGCTCATCGGTTTGCTCTGCGGCCACCTCCTGTAGGGTTTAAACTGTTAAAAGGACTGAAAATCCAGGGTTTAGGGTTTAGGGTTTAGGGTTTAGGGTTTAGGGTTTAGGGGTACAGGGTTTCGGGTGTCGAGTTTAGGGCGTCATTGCAGCAGTTCTAGTAGAAGGAGGGCTTTGCGGGGAGCGTAGGTGTTTAAGCTAAGCTCATCATCATCATCATCATCATCAGCAGCGACTTCTCGCTTTCCCCTTGTCTCAGCCGAATACCGACAAGCCGAAATGCGGAACCCAAAGCCCGCCCCTCCCCGCCCTCCCACGTTTGGGGCTTTGGGGCCTCTGAACCCCGAAACACTGAACCCTAAACCCTAAACCCCCTAAAGACCTCACCGTTCTTAAGGCTTTAACTTCTTTGGAGAGGGGGGTGCCCGTCCGACTCCCTTCCCTGGTGAGGCCTTGGCATCAACAGCTTCGGCCGCCGGCCTGGAGGTTGAGGGCCACTTACGGGGTTCGGGTGTTGCTAGGGTCCTTAGGGTCCTTGGGCTTGTCAGGGCCCTCAGCGTCTTTAGGATACTTCGGGGTACTTAGGGGCTTTAGGGTTTAGGGTTTTGGGTCCTTGGGTCTTAGATGGTCTTAGGGCTTAGATGGTGTTAGGGTGTAAGGTTTAGGGCCTTGCGGCCCCTTGGATGGTCTTGGCTAAGGCTCCTCTTTCATGGCTCAGGGCCCAGGATGGACGGCAGGGGGATGATTGTCAGAGCCCAAAGATTGCCCCAAAGCTGGAAGATCGACTTGCTAGACCATCAACAACCCTCCCTCCCGAACAAAGAGACTGTGTAGGGTTTAGGGTTTAGGGTTTAGGGTTCAGGGTTTAGGGCTTAGGGTTTAGGGCTTAGGGTTTAGGGTTTAGGGCTTAAAGAAAAAACATCCCACCGGGCCGCCGAGCCCTTCGGACAAGTCGCCCTGCACAGGCTCTGACAGACTGGGTGGGTTGCTACTTAAGGCACCCAAAACCCAAAACCCAAAACCCAAAACCCAAAACCCAAATCCCTGAAAACCCAAAACCCTGAAAACCCTAAACCCTGAAGGATGGACTGGCTGGTTCTTAGTAGGGAATGAGGGAATGAGTACCCTTTTTTAATCCCTTTAAGCGTATAGTGCCCTCATTCCCTCATTCGAACAACCAGGAATTAGATGGGAAGTCACGTTCGACGATCGGGTGTCCAGGGGCCTTGGCTGTTGAGTCCGGGGAACCGCATTTTTTGGAGTTTAGGGGGGAACCATCAGGTGCCTGTAGGGCTTGTGCAAAGGGCTTATGACTTTTTAAGCGAGTTTCTTCTGGTATTTTTGTTGAAGGTTGGCCGTACTATTCTACGGCTCACGCACTCTCACTGGAGTTCTGAGGAGCTTGACCTGGGATTTTGGCTCTCACACTGGCTGGTACGGCTATTCGGATTTTGGAGTCTGGCTCTGAAGTCAGGCGTTAGCGGCCCTCGATCAACAAAACGGATGAGGGGGGGGGGGGGGGGGGCACAATCCACAAAGGGAAATGGTGGCTGATAGGCACACAGAATCGGGGAGCGACGCTAGTTCTCATCCCGTAAACCACCTAAATGCTTCAGGCCCCCTTAAGACATCTCCGTTCTTTTCTTGTATGGTCTCCTGCATGTCAATACCTACGGCAAGGACCTATAAAGCAAAGATCACGAAGGACGAAAGGGAAGGAGATCCTTGAGAATGGAATTCATCCAGTATGTGTTCTTCCCAGCGAAACGAAGTTTCTGGGGTGTTTCAAAGCCTCCCAACAAGCTTCTTGAACGCCGATGTCTAGCCTCCCACCATAGTGTCCAATTCGTAGCGGGCCCTATCATCCCAATGATGCTGTCGGGGGAGACAATGACACTCATGAGTAGCCGGTTCTGCTTAAACAGCCGCCTCCTTCGTCATTCTGCTCATGGACGCTCCGGCTATGGGAGTTCCCGAAACCTCTGATGCTAGTAATCGGGATCTCAGCAAATAGAAGCCCTAAAACTTAAACCCTAAACCCCAATCCCTAAAGCCTCAACCCCGGTAGCCCAGAGAGTCCGAACCCGAAGTCCGCCTCGGCTGGTTCCGGAACCTTCAGCGTGTGCACCTTGAGGGCTTAGGGCTGGGTTTAGGGCGAAGGCCACCAGCAGGGACCGCAGAGACTCCGAGGTTCCGCCATGCCCATGCAAGCTTCACAAATAATTTGAGCACAATGTAGTCTACCCAACCCAACTCTTCAACATCTGGACACAGGCCCCCACCCCAAATCCTAAACCCTAAATAGGTCCCAAGCCCTAAGCTCTTGAACTCTCAAGACCACCGTAGCCTCTCCAATTGGAATATCGGGTCTTAGGAGGGGGCGGGGGGGGGGGGGTTGTTATAGTGTAAGTATATGGGGGCCATAAGGGAACGCTAAACCCTCAACCCGAAGCCCGAAACCCTAAACCCTAAACCCTAACCCTAACCCTAAACCCTAAACCCTAAACCCTAAACCCTAAACCTCAGTAATTGTTCCGACGACCCAGGGGGGCCTGCGCCGGCGCGGGAGGGTTGGAAGCATTGGCTGGGCCGGCAGCGACATCGCCGCTGCCTCCCCCTGCGGGTTTAGGGTTTAGGGTTTGGGGTTTAGGGTTTGGGGTTTAGGGTTTGGGGTTTAGGGTTTTAGGGGTTTAGGGTTTGGGGTTTAGGGTTTTAGGGGTTTAGGGTTTGGGGTTTAGGGTTTGGAGTTTAGGGTTTGGAGTTGAGTGTTCTGAGTTTAGGGAATCTGTTCAGGGTTTAGGGATGTTTAGAGTGACCAGGGTTGCGAAGAGTTCGCAGCATGTGGACTCATGACCATGAACTCTGGGGTGTGAGCTTTTGTGCAGTCTGTCGAATCTCGTGGGATCCTTCCTAGGGTCTGGGGCTGAACCTGAAGAATTTCAAACCCTCAATGAACTAAACCCTACACTCTAAGCCCCCCAAAGCCCCCCAAAATGCCAAGCGACCCCCACCCACCCAACACATAAACAAAGACACAAATAAATACAAAAACAAAAAGAATATTTACAACCCTCAAGTGACAACCCCCCATAATTCCCAAATGAAAATCTGAGCCCCAAAGCTTCCCCACAAAACAAGAAACCCAAGATCATCAGAATTCTTCTGCCCGACCTGAAGCTTCTCTGTCACCTTTAAACAGACCGAAGAAGCGTGAAAAATGTCTTTGCCGGGGGATATCCAGATCTTCCATCCTTATCGACACTCCTAGACCCGAAACCCTGAAACTCCGAACCTTAAGTTCCACGAAGGGTTCCGCCTTGCCGAAACGCCTCCGCTTTCGGAGTCGGACCCTCGGGGTGCGGATCCTCCGGGCTTGCGAACCGTGGTAGGGCTCTCGGTGTTTTGGGGTTAGGGTTTCGGGGTTTAGGGCTTCTTGCTGTGCAGTGCTTGTGGGCATTTGGGGTGTAGAGTGGTGGACCATTTCTGAAAAACGGATTCGTGCCAAAAAAAACACATTGGTGGGTTTCGGGCTTCTTTTTTGGAGGGCCTCAGAGGGCTCAGAGAGCCCCTCATGAAGGAATATCCGATAAGCCCCAGCTTTCAGGTACATTCCAGAGGGTGGGTTCAAGGCTGGTTTAGGGTTTAGGGTTTAGGGTTCAGGGTTCAGGGTTAAGGGTTTAGGGTGTAGGGTTTAGGGTTTAGGGTTTAGGGTTTAGGGTTTAAGGCTCGGGGTTAAGGGTTAACAGGGTTTAGGGTTTAAGCTTTGGCTCGGGCCTTTCCTGGCCATTCATGAGCCTCAATGCTCCTGAACCCTCATTTCCACAAACACCCTCAAGCCCTAGGCCCGCTGAAAGGCCTTGCTCCCTGGTCCCCGGAGGCCTAAACCCCCAAACCCCCAAACCCCTAAACCTGAACCCCCCAAAATTGAACCCTAAACCCTAAACTCCTAAACCCTAAAACCCTAAACCCTAAACCCCCTGAACCCCTAAATGCGAACCGTCGGCCTCAATGGGATCTGGGTCCACCGAGTCGCCATTGGGGCTCACTGGCGGCCGGTTCGTGACCTCCGGCCCCAGCTTGGGATTCGGGCTTATCGGCTTATGGGGTTTTAGGGTTTTAGGGTGTTAGGGCTCTAGGGTTTTATCGTTTTAGGGTTTTAGGGTTTTATGGTTTAGGGTTTTTGGGTTGTAGGGTTTCAGGGCGTTCAGGGTTTTAGGGTTTAGGAGCTTAAGGGTCTAGGGGATAGAAAAGTCGCACTTGGGGGTTGAGGATTTGTTGAGGGGAAGTTCAGGGCTGCGGTTTCGGATCAGCCCCAAACCCTAAACCCTAAACCCCAAACCCCAAACCCTAAACCCTAAACCCCAAACCCTAAACCCTAAACCCTAAACCCGAAGAAGCCCAGAAAGAGAACCCCCCGGGGCCTCCAAGAGGAGAGCCTCGGTGGTCTGAGTGGCGCGGGTGCCTTGGGCGCAGGGACTGTGTGGGTTTTAAGGGTTTAGGGGTTCAGGGGTTTAGGGGTTTAGGGGTTTAGGGTTTGTAGGATTTCGGTGTTTAGGGGTTTAGGGGTTCAGGGGGTTAGGGTTTTAGGGTTTGTCGGATTTAGGGGTTAGGGGTTTAGGGGTTTAGGAGTTGAGGGGTTTAGGGGTTCAGGGGTTTAGGGTTTGTAGGATTTAGGGGTTTAGGGGTTCAGGGGTTTAGGGGTTTACGGGTTTAGGGGTAGGGGTTTTAGGGGTTTAGGGGTTTAGGGGTTTAGGGGTTTAGGGGTTTAGGGGTTTAGGGGTTTAGGGGTTTAGGGGTTTAGGGGTTTAGGGTCTAGGGTTTGGGTTTTGGGTGGGTCGAGGGGTAGGGTGGTTTTTAGCTTCTTGGGGTTGTGAACTTTTTCCCACCTTCGGTGTGGGGTCGTTAGATTTTGAACTCAACTTCTCCTGTGCCCAACCCCAGAGACTCCTGGAGTGCCCAACCCCAGAGACTCCCTGGAGTGCCCAATTGCACGCGAAAACTAAGAATGCGTATTTGAATCAATGTGTCTTTGTTTGCACGGGGATCTTGTTTAGGAGTTAGGGTTTAGAGGGTTGGGGTTGGTTGGGGAGTCGGGGGGGGGGTATAGGATTTACGGTTCAGGGGCTTTAGGGGCTGGAGTTGAGGGTTTCGAGCCTCGGGTTGCGGGCTAAGGGTTTGGGAGTTGGGTCAGCGGGGTAGGGTTGAGGGGTTTCAAGGCACAGGGGTTGGCAAGCCGGAGGTGAAAATACTTAACCCAACTCTTACGGGCACCCCGTACCTGGAGTTTGGTTTAGGGTTTCGGGTTTGGGGTTTAGGGGTTTAGGGCTCAGGGAAGCCCGGCGCGCCCCTGAGGTTCAAGCCGTCCAGCAGCGCTATCCGCTCTTGGACGGAGTGGCGGAAGATCCACAGCTCCTGGCCCAGCACTGAACCCGGAAGCCTAAACCCTAAAGACCCTCAGGCCCCATGCTCTTGGGCCTTGTTCCACCCACAACGCCCCGAACCCTCTCTGCCTCAGGCGTCGGATCCGGCGCCTCGAACATCAGCTTCACCTGTTAGGGCTTCAAGCAGATGCTCAGGGCTTAGCGCCTTCAATTGATGCTTAGGGTCCAGGGCCTTCAACAATCTTAAAGAGGGATCTTGAGAGATGGTGTTCTAGCAGGCGACCGGATTCCATCTGCACCCTCCTCTACGCCTGAGTTCAAGGATCTTCCTTACAATGCAACAAGGATCCGGCATGAATAGAAGAGGCTTCCTGAATTTTGAGCTATTGGAGACGGCCCCTAACACTACACCCTCGACCCTCAACCCTCAACCCTAAACCCTAAACCCTGAACCCTGAACCCTAAACCGGTCCCGGGGGGCCGCTCCTTGACGTTGCTGACGGCCCGGAGCCAGAGCTCCTTCTCGTCGGCATCGCGGGCACAGAAGCGGTGACTGGGCACAGGCGATGCTGCGGTTGATATGAATAGCGTTTAGGGTTCAGGGTTTAGGGTTCAAGGGACCTTGATTTTAGGGCTGAGGGTAGCCCATGGTTTAGGGGGTTGAAGGCTTTGGTGGTGTGATTTTGAAGAGTTGAAGACTCTAGGCAAGGTTTAGGGTTTAGGCCTGAAGCCAGAATCCCCAGCCCAAAGGGCGCCCCTAAACCCTCGGACCTCTAAACCCTCCAAACTCTGATTGCGTTCAGCGGGGCTGGTCGATACCGAAGACATTGCAGTGGACGCCGGACCGCGTGCTGACCTTGGTGGAGTGGAGGCTTAAGGCTCTGAGGGCCGAGGGACCATGACTGAGGTCTCGGTGACAAGTCTTCTAGTCCCGTTCTTCGCCTTTACTTCGGGGGTGAGGGGGGTTGGCCCAGCAATCCTTCAGAGGTGTAGTCCGGGATCATGCAAGCCTCCCCTTGTCACTGCACGGAGAGGAGCCAGGCCCGCGGCAGTGGACGCATTGGAAAGAATGATCGTCGACAACTGCGGCATGCTGGAAGGGGGGATTTGCGTGTTGGGTTGGGCCTGCCAGCAGCACACAAGCTTCATGGACGGATGCCACTTAACACCATAAACTTCCGAGTTTCTTGGGGGGGCTTAGGGTTTAGGAGTTCGAGATCTAAGGTTTCAAGCTTCCCGCCCACTACAAGACCCGCGCACCTCTCGGTCGCACCACTCGTCCCGATAGAGAGTTAACTTCGCCTCTCCTGCAACGTACCTGGAGCCGTGGTAGAGTTTTGGGTTTAGGGTTTAGGGTTTAGGGGTTAGGGATTAGGGTTTAGGGTTGAGGGTCTAGGGTCCCCCAGCAGCCCATCCGCCGCAGCCAAGACCATGGCAGCATCCTGCGTGCGCACGCGTGGAGCTCGGCGTAGACGAGCTGGCAGGTGTCCATGTTGCACCCTTGGAGGAGAAAGCCGGCCTGCGCGGGGCAGGGTCTTGGGGGCCTACGGGCTTGTAGGGATTCGGGTGAAGGGAGAGGCCACGGCGGTGCCCTAAAACAAACTCAGTGGGGATTTTTGGACTTGGAACGAAGAGCATCCGAATCTGAGCCTTGCAACCCGAATTAAGAACCTGCTCACAAGGGACGGTGCCCGTTACCCTGAACCATGAACCTGTAAACTCTCCAAGGCCCAAGGCCCTTTAAGGCCCCAAAGCCCTGAGACCCCGACCAATATCCGGGTGGAGGTTGATTCGATGCCCGGCAGGGGTTGGACCTGCCAGAAGAACGCAGGGGCCCGAAAGCCCCCAAACCCTAAGCTCGACACCCCGAACCCCCAAGACCCTGAAGCCAATAAACCCCCTCAAACACCTCAACCCCCTCCTTGGCCCCAAACCCTACACCCGAAACCCGAAACCCTACACCCTAAACCCGACACGCCAAGGCCACAGAAAACTTCGACAGGCCAAGACCTAAGGGTGTAGAGAGGGTTTAGAGGTTGAGGGCTTCAGTTGCCTAAGGGCTTTGGGTTTAGGCCTTGGGGCTTAAGGGGTGTACGTTTAGGCTCAGGGTTTTAGGCTCAGGGTTTAGGGTCTAGGGTCCAGGGTCTAGGGCTTAGTGTTTAGCGTTCGGTGCTTCGAGGCCAAAGCCGCACGGCAGGCCAAGGCTCATAAAACCCTTAATTTTTGGATGTTCCTCCTTACACTAAACATCCTTAATCGGGATTACAGCAAGAGGTACCATAGCCCCACTTAAGGACTGCTAGGATAAGGGGCGAACACCCCAACCAAAAACCCTACCAGCCCTATCCCGGCCGAACCCGACGAGAGCGCCTTGATCTCGGCTGCCGGTGGGAAGAGGGATCGGGTCACCTCCAGGCACTCTGCTGCCCAAGGGGTTTAGGGTTTAGGGTTTAGGGTTTAGGGTTTAGGGTTTAGGGTTTAGGGTTTAGGGTTTAGGGTTTAGGGTTGTTCAGGGTTCAGGGTTCCCGACTGTGTCGTGAGCCATGGGCATCTCGGGACCCAAGCAAGCCCACCAAAGATCTCCAGGGCTCAAGGGGCTTGGGGTCCGAAACGCTTAGGCCTCAAGGGGTTTGAGGTTTCGGGCGCAGGGGTTCCGAGCTCTGGGGGTTTAGGATTCGGGGTTTAAGGAGTTTAGGGAGTTTAGGGAATTTATATAGGGAGTTTAGGGAATTTATATAGGGAATTTAGGGAGTTTAAAGATTGCAGCTTGGTGGGAGGAGGGAATGAGGAAATCTTCGACGTCTTTTGTTTCACAATGAGTTCATTCTGTGCTTTTCCAAGAACGAAGGGGACAAGAGTGAAATTGGAATGGAACACCGAAGTTGGTACTAAATGCTCTTAGTGCTCATGCTATGTAGCATTACGGCTTAAACTTAGACGTCACGAAAACTAAGTACATGATACTGACACGCAACGTTTAAGAAAAGCAATGAACGCTGAATTGCCTGACTTTTTAAATGAACATGCTTGGCTTCCCTTGCTTCAAGGCATGTCCAAATTCTCGGGTTGTGTCCACATCTTTAGCCGTGTGACTGAAGGTAAGACCCAGGAAAGTAAGGCCTCAGGGCTTGCATGAATTCGTGACGGGTGTTCCAGCCTTTCGGTGGAGGTTACACCATCTTCAAAGCTGTTTCAGGCTCATCTCTCCCCCACCTCACCGCAAAGCGAACCGATCTTCTCCACCCACCGGTCGCGCTCCTGCGCGCAAAAAAAGGCGTGGCGCCAGACAGGACTTTGGGGCTTTGAGGCTCGGGGGTGGGGGGGGGGCGGGGGGGGGCAAGATTCAGGAGAGTCGGTAAGATTCAGGATTTTTCGGGCCTGAGGCTTAAGTTTCATGTGGCTGGCCTTGTTCGCCTCTCTTGGGACCCGGAATCTACGACAGTCGAAACCACTGAGGCAGGGCTGCGGATGGTCCTTGTAGGCATTGCCTCCCGTGCAGGCGAAGTAGAGGCAGAGGTCGTGCCCTCCCGAACGGAAGACCTCAAGGGTTTAGGGTTTGGGGTTTGGGGTTTTGGGTTTGGGGTTTTGGGTTTGGGTTTTGGGGTTTGGGGTTACATGTTGCATGCAACCCAGGCTCACCTGAACTGGTGAGGAACCCTTCCTCTGGTAGCTCCTTACCCTACCGACACCCCGCATCAGGCCCTGAACCCTAAACCTGCTTTGGCAACACTCCATCCATCATAGAACTTATTGAATATCTATCAAAAGGCCGAAAGGCATCGCCCGTGCCGCCGTGGACGTCTGAAAAGGTGCCCCAAACATTTTCAAGACCATCTGGTGAAGTTCCCGAACGTGTCCGTTCTTGTGGGTACAGTACCTGGGAACCTGTGTATATTGAGTCCACGAGAGGCCCCACAATTTGAATCACTTCTTCTGGGCTCCCCGCTGTGAGCTTGAATACCGCCCAGTAGGCAGAGTGCTGCAAGGTTTTGACCTGCAGCTCTTCACGGGCTCTTACAAAAGGGACTCCAGAGGCTCCCGAAAGCTGCCTCGCCCCTGTTAAGCATGTAGCGTGCAGCCGCCGGTTTGCAGTGACTCAGAGCATTCTACTGGGGGGGGGGGGGGGGGGGGTTCCCTGCAAAGGGTTCCCTGCAAAGCCCACACGAATAGACCATAACAGAGGCATAAGAAGTGCCCCCATCGCTCCGGATCAGTCGCGCAACCTTAAACAACACTCAACCCCACAGGGTCTCGCGCTCAGGGTGAACCCTAAACCCGAAACGCTAAAAGTAAAACCAGGCCCCAACAAACAGTTGAGACCACAATGTGGCATGCGCGCAGGACGCCTGGCACTTCTCCACAAGGGAAAAGGGTGACCAGGCCCGGTTCACTCGCTTCGTATCACTTCCTGCGAGTCGAGGGTTGCACTGTTTAAGGTTTAGAGTTTATGGGTCTGGGCTTTTTGTTTAGGGTTTGGGGCTTAGGGCTCTTGGGGCTGTAGCTCCCGGTTTCTACCTGAAACGGCTAAGTACCCAAGTAAGGGGCCTCCTTACACGCAACATGAGGAACGCCAGTCCAAAACCTACGGGTTTAGGGTTGAGGGTTTAGAGTTTATTCCTGAACCCTGACGGCAGCGTCCTCCGGCCATCGGCGACATTGAAAAGCCGTTGGCCTCAGAAGACATGCAAGCCCCCGAGCTGCCCCAACCATAAACCCCGAAAAGCGTAGAGCCCTCGGGTTGCGCTACGCCCTATAACCTCACAAACTCGGCACTCAGGTCAGGCGGCTGGAAATGACCTCCAGGGTTGCTGAGATTTAGGGTTTAAGGTAAAAGGAGGCCAGGCAGGGGGGGGGGGGATTTCTCCTGAACCCTGAATCCCAAACCTAAACCCGAGAGAGAGGGCGGAGTCTGAGGCCAAAAGAAAAGGGCACCCTGACAACTGCACGTGTGTATATATATATACCTACCTACCTACCTATTTATCTTTCTTTCTTTCCTATTTATCTAGGTATTTATTTGTATAGTGAGTTCTCTAAATTATGGTCCCTTGTTGGCTACCCTGACTGTTCGGGGCCGCCTTCTGAAGTAACCCCACAGGAGACCGTATTTTTAGAGAAGTGACCATACAACCATCGTGAGAAGATTCACCATGTGACGTATGTGTAACATATGGTTGTCCTTGCGTGGCTTCAGAGTGTCCGAGTCCCAAGCATAGAGCGTGACCGTCATCTGCTGAACGGATTCCTCACACGCCAAGCTCTTCGAACATGGCGAAAGCATGCTACTGAACATGGAAAATCTTCCCCATTTTCGGTGGGAAGAATGTAGCCAAGATTGTTGTTCCAAGCGTCATCAACGCATGCGATCCCCCTTCTCTGGGTTTGGGCATGCCTGCAATTTCCCCCAAACACAGACAGGTCGCGAGGAGACCAAACATCGTGCGACCGCGAAAACAAGAGTTCGAGGGCTTAGCTGGGCTTATACGGTTTCGGGCTTGGGGTTTAGGAGTTTAAGGCTTAGGGTTTAGGGTCCCAAAAGCCCCCCGAAGATACACCCAAAACCTTTAGGGTTTAGGGTTTAGGGTTTAGGGTTTAGGGTTTAGGGTTTAGGGTTTCGGGTTTGGGGTTTAGGGTTTAGGGTTTAGGGTTTAGGGTTTGAGCCCCCCCAACCCCTTAACCACGAGCACCACTACGCCCGACCTCCAGCTTGATATGCATCAGCGTGCCAAGCAGCAGCCTGCAACTACACGGACATCCAGAGACTCCGATACCCACCAACTTCCGCTTAAAAAGCATTACGGGGCCTTGTTCTCTGGAGGGCTTGGAGATGTAGGATCTGGGGCTTTAGAGTGTTTCTTGCGTTTGGCGCTTCGGGTGGTGGGAGTGAGGGTTTGGGGCTCAAGGCTTCAGGGATAAGGGATGGGTTGTTTACACTTGTTCACGGAAGCTCCCCCGCAAGCCCTGCCACCCTTTGCAAACCCCTAAGCCTCTGAGTCTGAAAAGCCCGACACTCCGGAATTCTAAACTCTAGGCCGCTGAACCTCAAGCAGTCAAACCCAGAACTCCTGAACCTCCGAAACCCTCAGAAAACAAACTAACAACCCCCCTCCCACCACCGCCACCAAAACACAAGAATCTGAAAGCCCTACCGAGTGGAATTCAACCCCCTCAACAATATATACATATATATATATATTTTTTTTCTATTTATTTACTTTCTATTTGCTTATTTATTCATCTATCTATGTGTTTATCTATTTATCTATTTATCTAATTAATTATTTTTCATTTATTTATAGATACATAAATATAGAGAGAGATATATATCTGTATAACGTTCAAAACAATGTCAATAACTTGCTCCGAAAACAAAAACTTATGCCGGCAGTAAGAGACCATATGCGCCCAGAAGTCCAAAAGCCAGCACAGTTTGGCAGTTCGCGAGCCCAAACGTCCAAAAGCGATGACAGTAATTTGGTGAGCCCAAACGTCCAAAAAGCGATGCGGCGCGCCCACACAACCTTGCCGCTCTTAAACTTGTCGGGACCCCCAACAGGGCGCCCCAGCCTACTTTCGGAAACCCCATGTCTTTCTTTGTGGGCTTACGATATCTGGGGTACCTATCCTACTATCTGGGGGCCTTTTGTAGGGTACCCTTATTATCGTAACCCGCATTTGCTTCGGTCAGAACGGGCTCCAACAAAAGCCGCCGAGCGTCGGCTCGCCATGCATCGTCTCGGACTCAGAGGCTCGGAAGGTGGGCACCTTGCGCGCGGGGCTTTTGCCGGTGGGCTCTGAAGGCTTCTTAGGAACTTAAAGAGAACCTGCTCGTTGGTAAGGTTTAGGGTTCAGGGTTAGGGTTTTGGGGTTCAGGGTTCCTTGATGGAAGGACGTCCTGCTTCGTGTAGATTTGGTGAAATCAGAATGGATGCCAGAAAGGATTGAGCCAATCGAAGGCCTAGCCCAGGCGCCCATATTCAGCAGAGGCACCTCTCATTGCAGGACTCCTTTCCAAAGGACCCCCCACCCACCAGGACAATCCCCTGCTCGCTCTTCGCTTGGAATTCAGGCGCTAGGTACCTCTAGTTAGCGGGCCCGACTCGCTACTGTAAGCCGTAACCCTAGACCCTAAACCCTAAACCCTACACCCTAAACCCTACACCCTAAACCCTAACCCCTAACCCCTAAACCCTAAACCCTAAACCCTACTTCCCGACCATGACCCTGAAACCCACACACCAAATCCACACGCCAAGGCCCCAGCGGACCGCAGCCGCGGGCCGGGCGGCAGCTTTCCACGTAGCCCTTTCCAGAAATGTTTAGGGTTTAGGGTTTAGGGTTTAGGGTTTAGGGTTTAGGGTTTAGGGTTTAGGGTTTAGGGTTTAGGGTTTAGGGTTTAGGGTTTAGGGCTTGGGGTTTAGGGTTTAGAACTTGGGGTTTGGGGTTTAGGGTTTAGGATTTGGGGTTCAGGGTCTAGGGGTTAGGGTCTAGGATTTAAGGCGCCATGGTGAGCTCTAGTGGTTGGGGTAAGGGTCAAGACCAGCCAGTCCAGGTTCAAACATGCTTGTTGTGCTTGGTGGGCTTCTTGCACAAGCAGCTGTGGCTGTAAGTTCGAACCCCCAAACCAAGCCTCCCTGACCCCCCAAATCCTGAATCCGACACCCCCAAAGCCAGACCCTAAGCACTAAGCCTAAACCCCCAAAAACTAGCAACCACTCCATTGTCTGGGAGCTCCCTGCGAGGAAGGGTCTCCGGGTACTCCGTACTCTGCAAGACCAGCGAGTCCTGCAACAGACCCCGCAAGGGTTTAGGGTTTAGGGTTTAGGGCTTAATTAGGGTTTAGGGTTTAGGGTTTAGGGTTTAGGGTTTAGGGTTTAGGGTTTAGGGTTTAGGGTTTAGGGTTTAGGGTTTAGGGTTTAGGGTTTAGGGTTTAGGGTTTAGGGTTTAGGGTTTAGGGTTTAGGGTTCAGGGAACCAAGGGGGCTTCAGCATGATTACGCCTTGAAACTACACAAGAATCCTTCATAGCCCTGAAAGGACATGTCCTCCATTCAGGGGCATTGAGCTCTCTGGGTATAGAAGCGCGAACACCTAAACTCCACAAACCACGCATCCGCAATCAACGGAGGCATTGTCATCTCCACACCTGTCCTACACACATGCTCGCCAGCAGACTTGAAGTGAGCGCCCACGCAGGGCACGCGTTTCATTCTCAGGGTTTGGGGCGGTTTAGGGTTTCATTAGGGTTTAGGGAGCCTCAGGTTTTGGGGGTGTAGGGTCTTAAGGTTGAGGGTTTGGGGGTTTCGGGGTCAATGGTGCAAAGTTTGGGCGCTTGGCCCAACCCCACATCAGCCCAAGTTAGTTTGAGCTTCTTGACCCTAAACCCTGAACCCTTAACACTACACCCTGAAACCCTAAACCCAGTTTGGCCTATTCCCAGTTCATCCAGGTTCGTCCCTGAAAACGAGTACGCCTCGCGAGGCTACTAGGCCGGGTCTTCAACGCCTCTGGGCCCGCTGAGAAATAATCCCTCACCAAGACCCCGAACGCCCAAACCAGGGGAGCCATGCACAACCATACTGATTCTGAATCCTACTGGCTCTTCATCGGGAATGAAGCACCTTACATGCCCCTCTAGATACGCAGATACGCGTTAAGGGATTCTCCAGGGGACCTAAACCCTAAACCCTAAACCCTAAACCCTAAACCCTAAACCCTAGACCCTCCTTCACTGCGAAGAACCAGTGAACCCTAGCCCTAAACCCTAAACCGGGTGCCAGCCTTGAACCCGGGTACCGCTGGGAAGCTGTCGTTGATCTCCAGGTTCGTGTCCCAGACAGCTGAAGGAGGGGGTTTGTTTAGGGTTTAGGGTTTGGGTTTACGGGGTTAAGGGTGTAAGGTTTAGGGGTTTGGGGGTTTGGTCTTGTTCAGGGTTCAAGGGCTTCTAAGAGATCAAGGGTTCAAGGGCTTTTGAGGGCTCAAGGGCTTTTGAGGGTTTAAAGGGTTCAAGGGCTCAAGCGGTTTTAAGGGTTTACAGGGTTCAAGCGGTTCAAGGGCGTTTTCGGGTTTAAGGGTTCAAGGGCTGAAGGATGAGCCCTTTTTGGGGTTCTGTTGGCATGGCTGAGGCTACCAAGCAAAACCCACGCTTTAGATCAAGGTGTAGGGCTGGGGGTCCACACATAAGCTGAGAAAGATGTCGTTTTTGGGTCATTATGTTTAGAGGGTGTTTTTGAGTGCAGGGCTGAGGAAACATGCTTTCGCCGCAGGTGGTGCTGGCTAGAGTGTCGGTTGTAGGGAGATGAGGCTGCGAAGTGCTCGAAACGACCGAGAGCGCCGCCCTCGTGATGCCAAAAAGGGCCAAGACGGTCCCGCAAAACAAGGCCCCGAAAGGACCGTCAGGTTGTGAAAGTTACGCGGGCTCTCGGAGGCGTCCTCCGGGCTTGGCTGCAACCAAGCGATCCGCTATGAAGCCGCCAAACCAACACATCCGTCTCCCTCAGCCGCAAAATCCTAAACCACCCTAAACTCTAAACCCCAAACCCTAAACCCCAAACCTTAAACCCCAAACCCTAAACCCTAAACCCTAAACCCTAAACCATCCCATGCCCATCCCCCCATCTTGGCTCCGGGCTGCCTCTGTCCTGGGCATGGGAGCAGACGCACTGCTCGATGCCAGAGAGCCACGCGAACATCTGGGCCTGGGAGATGATGTCAAGGTATATGTGTACATTAAATATAATATAATATAATATAATATATATATATATACTTTATGTGTATAATGTATAATGTATAATGTATCATGTATAATGTATATGTATATGTATATGTATATATATATATGTATATAGGCTTTAGGATTTAAGGGGTTAGGGTTTAGGGGTTCAGGGCTCAGGGTTCAGGGCTTTAAGGTTCAGGGTTCAGGGCAGTGCCTGGTCTGCGGCGGCTCCTCGTCACTTGGCCATGGCTCGCTGACACTTTGTTCTTTTTAAGGGTTCACGGTTTAGGGTTTAGGGTTAGGGTTTAGGGTTTAGGGTTTAGGGTTCAGGGTTCAGGGCTTGGGGTGGTTGAGGGTTTCGGATCTTAAGGGCTCAAGGGAATCTCGAGCGCTTGGGCTAGGGCTTCAGGGCGGAGGAGGGCAGGGGAGCTAGGGTTTGGGGTTGAGGGTTTGGGTTTCTATAAAGTTCAGGGAGCTCTGGTATTCTAGGACTCTGAGGTTTTGGTTAGGAGGCTTGGGCGTCTAGCAAGGTTCAGAGCGTCCGGTTATCGACGCAGCTGCACACGCTTAAGCCGATGCTGCACGGGAGCTTTTTGGATCAGCTCCTGCGTCGCTCTTGGCATGCCCAAAAACCTGAGACACAACCATTTCAAAATTTCACACTTCTGCGTGAAAGGGAGCACTTTTCTGTGAATTGGTGTGCTGTGGGTCATTGACTGAGCAGGCGGGGCTGTGCTTGCAGACAGCGCCTTGCGAAGGAACCCGAAAAAATGGTCGAGCCTCGTCGAAGAGTCTAAGAAGTCCATCGCAACACAGCAGCAAACATAAAAGCAGCGCATGGAGAAAAAAAAAAAACCTTCCTTCCCTCCTTCCCTTTTCGCATGCTCCACAGCAGTTTCGCTGTGCTCCCCGGGGGTGCGGTGACGTTGGCGGCAAGATTCCTCAACTCCCTGACGGGCAAGATGAATGTCAGTATCATGCCTTGGGTGCGATCTGGTGTCGCCTACTCGCTGCGATTGGAGGAATCTCCCCAGGCTTCACAGTGTGGCGGGCGTTCGAGATGGGGCCCGGAGGCTTTGAATGAAGGCTTCGGGCGGCTTCGGGCGGCTTCGAGGTCAAACACGGCAGGGTCGGCTTAGGGTTGGACATCCGACCTCAGCCACTAACCCTATTCTATGTTCTGGAACGTGAACCTCCAAAAAAAGACCGAAATCCTACAGCACCCTTGTTGTGTGAGGGCTGTGGAGCGGGCAGCGGGCTACGAACGCCAGCCACTGCCGGCTGAAGACTCAGGAGCACGGAGGACCTGACATACTCGGGGAAGAACTGTGCTTTGTACTCTACGTCCAGGGATCTGGCATATGGCCTTGCAAGAATAATTACGTCAGGCATCAAGGCTTCTATCAGGTCCGGGTTGCAGGGAGCCGTACTTCAGGGTTTCGGGGTCGAGTTGAGGGTGTACGTACCTCTCGCAGCGCTGCAACGAGGGGTTCAAGGCGCCTCAGTCCTCGTCGCTGTCCCAGTCGTCCAGTGGGTTGCCACCGCGCCTCGTTCTTCGTCTCAAAGGGGGGGGCGAAATGTCGTACAACTGAATCTAGTATAACATAGTATATGCGCTACATTAAACCACGGTGTAATTTGAGTAGACTATATACTATAGCAGTACCAAATCTGGGCAAGCAAAGCCTTAGCCTTTAGGACTGCAGCTCTTGGCCGCGCACCTCATCTCACACGTGATCGGCTGCCCCCACACGGCTTCATCTCAGGATGGGGCTTCCGCATCACCCGGTAAAATTCCTCGGGGCTGATGAGGCCGTCCCCGTCGCGATCGGCCTGTCATCGGCGGGTGCAGGCTGAGCACACTCCTCGATGACGCTGCCGCGATGCTTCAAGCCCCACACTATCTCGCAACCCCAACCCCCCGCCCAAAAACAAAAAAAAACAAGTTGTTGGCGCAGCGTGAGCCCGTGCAGTTCGAGCAGGCCCTGTTTATGATAAAAGTAGAGGATATCTCCACCATGTCTTTGATCCCCAAGCCCAAACCCCAAGCCCTCAAGGCAAAAAACGCAAGCCCTCGATAAGCTCGCAAGGGAGACCTCTTCGATCATTTCCTGAAGCTCTTCGTCTGTAAGGCTCTCGCCGAGCTCCTCTGAAGCGGAAAGGTATGAGGACTTGGGATGCGGGGAGTGTTGTATGGACTGCGGGCTTCGGGTTGGACTGCTAGTTTAGGGGGGAACATACCAAGCTTCGGGTCACGTTGCAGTGGCTCGAGGTTTCTTGGGTAATGAGAACATTCCGGGCAGAGAGGTGTCTGCCGACTTGCAACGCTCCTGGATCAAGACCTCCGAAAGACGCCCTGAATCCCAACAATAAACGGAACTCCATCCTGTCATAGGGTCCCCAACTTCTCCCCCCCTACCATCCTGCGCGATTCTCTTGAGATTGCGGAAGGAGATCTTGCCCGTCTCGTCCTCGTCGAAGAGGGCAAAGACCTCGCAAGCGACCCCGCCTTAAGGGACCCGACTTACGGGTGCAGGCTCAAATGTGGCTTAGGGCCCAGGACGTTTCGAATTTCAGGGCTTAGGATTGTTTGTGGTCCAATGAGCCTGTGGCTTTTCGCAGGGGGGGAAGGGAACGCAAGCTGAGCTCGCGACATGGGGATGGGGTTTGGGGCTGAGCCTCACAGAGTTCCACGGCAGTTTTCGAGGTACTGCAGTGCCCTGGAGGCCTTGTCGATCTCCACCCGAGAGTTCTTGTCGGGCATCCTGGCCAGGAGGGACCCGACCGGGGATACTGCTTACAGGCAGCTACGCTCCTGTGTAAGGGCTTACCCTCCCAGGCCCGTAGATTCACCAACAGCAGAGGCTCGAGCGCCCACAAGCCGCGCTCTCGCCACTTTTAGGGTTCAGGGTTCAGAGGGGCGCTTGACAAGTACGGACGGGTGTATGGGCTGCAGCGCTTAGCGCTTGAAAGTTGTCTTCTTCAAAGTCCTAAAAATGGTCAAAAGTAGTTGGGGTCTAGGATTTGGGCTTATATAGGGTCTCCTGGCTTCAACAAACGGCTTCCAAGGCTTGTCAAGGGCAGGAGCAGCTCGACCGCGCGGGCTTCACGGGCCTCCCCTTCATCATCTCGCAGAACTCATTGAAATCAATGGGCTGCGACGGGTCCTGTCGAGCTTGGGATGGTTCCAGACAACCCTCAGCACGAAGAAGGGTACCCCTTCTCTGCTTCGTGGGGTTTGCTTTGAGGAACCTAATACCCTCTGACAAAAGCCAAAGTACGGGCAAGAGTGGGTCACAAGCCACTGCTTCTCGGGCTTAGTGTGATGCTTGAGGGGACTGCTGCCGGAGTGAGTCTGAAGCTGCGGCCCGCTCAAGCCCCCAAAAACCCCGTAATTGAAGTCTGTCGATCCTCGAGTCAGGGTCCAGAGGTTAGGAAGGCCCCCCCCAAACCCGCTTCAAAGGAACAGCTTTGGTCGCCCTTGTCAGAAAAGGTGGTTTTCTACGTGTTGGTCCGTTGCTGGGCACCCTGAACAATATCGCATGGTGCCACAAAGGGGTCCCTGAATTAGAGATGAGCTGAACTACCCTAAATCCTCCACTCTGGGCACGCGCAGAGACCTTCCGTACCCCCTCCCCCCCCCCAGACCCAAAAACTCCAAGACTCCCCATGGTACACTCAAAGAGCTTAGGGTTTTGGAGGCGACGTGCTTTAAGCTTCGAAGGAGGGCTCTTGCTATAGGAGTGGACATCCTAGACCTCTATACACAACATCCCCCAACACCTCGGCACTTCCCGTGCCCAGGCCCGACACCACCCCATCCCTGAAAAGCGCACACTGGAACCCAAACCCTACATTAGGGTTTAGGGTTAGGGTTTAGGGTTTAGGGTTTAGGGTTTAGGGTTCAGGGTTCAGGGTTCAGGGTTTAGGGTTTAGGGCTTAGGGCTTAGGGTTTAGGGTTTAGGGTTTAGGGTTTAGGGTTTAGGGTTTAGGGTTTAGGGTTTCGGGTTTAGGGTAAACCCTGAACCCCCTAAATCCCTATATCCCGACAGTTCCCGAATCCTCTGTCTCCTAACCGCTCCATTGCTACTTACCCTGTGAGCCGTAGCCCCCCTCGGCCGCCGGGCTTTGCCAATGTCAGCTAGCATCTTTCGGACCTTGCGGGCTTTTTAAGTTTAGGGTTTTTAGGGGGTTAGGTTTTGGCTGTTAGGGGCTCCGGCTCAGGGGTTCAGGGGTTCAGGGGTTCAGGGGTTCAGGGGTTCAGGGGTTCAGGGGTTCAGGGGTTCAGGGTTTAGGTTTTGGCTACGCCCTAGAGTTTGCGGCTTAGGGCGTCGGGTGAGCGCCTAGGCTGAAGGAATGGATGTGGATTCCAGTTCCTCTGAGGAACATTGCGGCAAGGGCTCCCTAACCAGCTTTTGAACCCGGGGACTGAACTCCAAGTTCGCTGCCACTTGTCGCAACCCCAAACCCTAAACCCTAAACCCTGAACCCTAAACCCTAAACCCTAAACCCTAAACCCGAAACCCTAAACCCTAAACCCTAAACCCCTGAACCCCTGAACCCTAAACCCAATGTCGAGTCTCGGAGTCGGGCATCTTCCTTCTTGACTTCGAAGCCCAGCGCTCTGAGCGCCGCCTCCGGAGCATAAGGGTTTAGGGTTTAGGGTTTAGGGTGTAGGGTTTAGGGTTTAGGGTTTAGGGTTTAGGGTTTAGGGTTTAGGGTGTAGGGTTTAGGGTTTAGGGTTTAGGGTTTAGGGTTTCGGGTTTAGGGTGTTAAGGGGTTGGAAGTTAATCGGGTCCAACAAGGAATACGCCTTTGGCTGGCAAAGGGACACAAGGCATGTTACAGTTCCTGAATCAAAGAGGATTGGGGCTCCCTGGGTCGGGCTCATGAGGGTTGAGGAGCCAAAAGCTCGAGGCCTTCAGCTCGCGCGCATCAATTGCGCCGGATTGCTCCGTGTCAAAGAGGTTAAATGCCTGGATGTGGGTCGAGACCTCTTTCCCATCTCGTTCCAGAAACACTTAGTCAAGAACCTTGTTGTAAGTCAACCCATTGCAGTAAACTGGCGGACTGCTGCGTGCAAGCGCGTCCGTGAAGAACAGTCATGATTGATGCAACTGATTACATTCACATCAAGCTGAAGCATCCAGAACCCTCCTCATGTCAACCACCCCCTCTTCTGATGTCAGCACCCTACAACCAAGCGCTCCATCAAGTTTGGGCGCCAGGCCACGCAAAGCTAAGACAGCCCAATCTATTCAAAACCTTTGAATTGAAACTTTCAGCTTCGACCAAGCTTCCTCGCGGATCTCTTCGATCTGCTCGTCGTCCAGGCCTTGCCTGTAGTCATGGAGGCCAGGACAACGCCAGGGAAGGGGGTTGATAGCAAGAAAAGCAACGCGAGTTCGTCAACAGGCGTTTTGCTCTTTGCCTGGACCTATCAATATTTACCAGCATCACTACACTGCTTGCTGTACCGACCGACGGCTCAAGAATGACCCGAGGGACGCCAAGCCTGAACCCCGAAACCTGCACTGGGCTGGCCCTTGTCAACCAAACCTTTTGCCTAAGTACGGGTATAGGGTTGACGGTTTCCTTCTCATCCCAGTAAGGACCATAAAATACACGACCGCCGGAAAGTCCCACATGACTGCGTTGCCCAGTGCACGCAACAATTCGCAGCGGCGCATGAGGGTTCGGAAGCAATGTGTTCGAATCGACATTCGGCGGAGGGGCTTCGCACCATCCCAACGAAACGAAGGCAGCAGTGCGCAGTAGAGGGCTAGATGTTAAACAGGTGAAAAAGTTCCATAATTCTGCAGGACACGCCTGACAGGAGAGACCGCCCATGTCATCTGCGACGCGATACCCTCATGGGATAAACGTAGTTTGGGGGATGGGGGGCCGTAGTACAAGGAGGCGAGCACTCACAACTTCATAAGTTTCCTTTGAGTCCAGCATCAGCTCTTGAAGTGCAATTGCCAGCATGCCATCCTGCGACTTGACCTTAGTCGAGACTTCATGTTGCGGATACTTGCAGAAGATGCTCCAAGCAGCCAAGCATTTTGTCGTCAAAGTCTCTGACCGAGCTGTTCGCAGCGGATCGCGGATGAAATGCGCGTGCGATATAGCCCCCAGACCATGACTCGGGAGCAACACTCTTTGTTGTTGTCCATCAGGATCCCTCGACAGACACCAGGCCCATCAGATGGAACTGATGCTCAAGATCTGGCTGGTTTTCTTCCTACGTTTGGAACTACAAGCTGTAAATTGCGAAGAGATCAGCGCGACAACTGAGGTCGCCTGTGAGAGAACTCTGAGTTTTCATGAAGACAACTACTCGAGAGCACAGTGAAGGTTGCGAAGCCAATCAACAGGCGAGCCAAGAAAACGAAGTACATGATCACACACACACACAAGGCGCACGACCCGTGTACCACCAAGCCTCCTTTGTCAGAATGTTTGCGGCATACGTCATCCAGAATTCCATCGCCACGCCGTTTGCCAGGGTATTGTGTGAATGTACGCGCCGAATTCCGTCAGCACGGTATTTGCGAGGGCTTTGTAAGCGTGGACTTCCGTCACCATGGCATGCGAGGTTTTTGCAAGCGCGGAATTCGGGTATCGCTGTTTCTGTGAGGTTTTTCATGTGCGGAAATCCAGTAAGGGTTAGGGTTCAAGGGTATTCTGGGCATATCTGCACTATCAGACCCCTATGAGACCCCACAGTCGACTCTTACCGAAACCCACCCCTCCCCGCCACCAACGCCCAGAAAAAACAACAAAACGCACCCTAAAGTCCCTAAACCCTTACCCCTGAACTCTGAACCCTGAACCCTGAACCCTAAACCCTAAACCCTAAACCCTGACCCTAAACCCCAAACCCCGAGAATCTGTACCCCATTCACCTTCCGACACCAAGGCCTCGTGTTGGGCTTTCGCGTGGTGCGGCCCTGCCTTGAGAGGATCCACTCTTCAGGGTCCACCCCTAGGCCTTACGGTTTAGGGTTCATGCTTTCGGTTTTAGGTTTTAGGGTTTAGGGTCTTAGGGTGCAGGTTTGAGGGTTGAGGGTGAGGGTCGAGGGTTGAGGGTTGAGGCTGCGGAGCTGAGGATTCGAGTTGTCAAGGCAATATGTACCTCTGAAACTAAGTCTGGCTGCAGTATCGCATCCCACGCCCTGTTGAGGCCTACTACATTCCCGGCTTGCACCTGCACTCTTTGCCAAACTCTTGGTCTCTGAGCCTTGACCCTCAAGCCCTAACCCTGAACACCTAACCCCAATTCCTTGAGCGCTCATCTTTGGCATCTTGTGGTTCACTTAACCGACCTGGTCTTTGCTCACTCTGCCTTCCAGTAGGGGCCCTTGCCTACCAACCGCAGCACCCGAGGCCCCCGCGGCCCCGCGCGAGCCAGGACTGGGTGCAGGGCGGGACCACGATTATGAACGAGGGGCCGAGGGTCTGTAAACCTAAATATGTATATCTGCATATCTAGCTTTGCATCGGTATATATATATATATATACATATTCACACATATATGTATGTACATGTTATTTTCTATTGCAAGGTTTGGGGATTCAGAGAACGACGTCTCATTCCGTTGTGCTCCCGGTACCCGAATCCCAGTGGCGCTACTCTGGGCCGACACCAAACCCTCCTGCTCCGGGTGAAGGGCCCTTTCAGCATGAGGATGGTCATGATCAAGTCAAAACCATGATAGTTCATGGCAGCCACAGTCGTTTTTTCCCTTACTGGTCAGTGAAGACAGAACCCCACATCCTTAGACCGTGAACCGTCAAAGCCACAAACCGAGGAGGTTTCCCCTGAAAAAGATAATACTTCAGGCCCGGGATACCCAAACTGTTCACATGTCCCTTGTGCAAACTGCTACTGAACAAGCGGATTTACTCGCCTTGTGTGGTTATTTGCCCTCTTAAGAGGACCACCGAAACAGGCACTGTTTCAAAGAACTGCGCAGCTCTCCGAGCGCGACATCCCGAAGGTGCGGATATTTTAAGTTTTCTTGATGCCACCGCCTCGACATCAACTCCTTGCCAGCTGCCCCCGCCCAACTCGCCCACATCGAAGATCACTTCAAAGCGGTCAGCACCAGTGTGAGGACTTTCTTCACTCGCTTTCGATTCTTCGCGTCGTCCTCATCATCAGAAGAATCAGAATCAAAAATGGCTGCCTCTCTGCATTTTTCGATCTCCTTCCGTGCTCTCTTGAGAATCAGACTCGGATTCAAGACTTCTTGCTTTCTGAGGGCCACCTCAAGCAAAATGTCTGGCTCGGATCGGAGCACCGTCAGGTCCTCATTGGTGCTGTTCCCGGCCAGATGATCAATGCATCTTTGGTATTGCTCCTTGAGACCGTGCTTGTGCGCTTGCAGGAGGCGAGCGCCAGTGACTGGGAGAGTAAGCAGCAGCTTCACGCAGGCGTCTTTGATGATATCCACCTGGTAGTAATCACTGATTGCAAGAAGCGAATCCACATTGTCCTTCGTCACTTTGTCGGTGCTCCATGCCCAAAGTCCGAGCAAGTTATAGAAGGTCATGAATTCTTGCTTGGTGGCCACGACCACCTTTATGACGCTCTGCTGTGCTTCCTTCATGCCACTCTGAAGCATGCCGTTGAACACGGGGGAAGCCAAGCGGAGCAGATGAGAGCTTGCCAACATAGAGACGTCAGAGCTTTCTCCACAGCTCTCAGAGTCTTCGCCAAACTCCAGACGCACATCGCCGACTTGCTCCAGAGTGGCTGCTGTCGCCTCCGTTCGGACCGACATCGCAGACACCTTGGCCCTGAAGTGCCGACCAAGCCACTGCAAATCCTTGGGCCTCAAAGGGCACCCGAAGCAACGCAGCAACTCAGAGGCAAGCTTCTTTACTATTTACAGCCCCCCAGCAGCTAACATCGTGTACGTGACAAGGGTTTTCGTATCAAGCGCCCCTTGAACAGTGTAGGGTCTCGAATGCCTCAAGATCCGGGCTCTACTATCCGGATCCCCCCCCTCCGAATCGCTGGGCAAAAAGTGCCTAGCCATTGTTCAAGCACCCTGAGCTATTACAATCCCTGAAACAACGAGCATAATCCAGAAGCCATCCCGGAACACAGGAACTACCCGAGAGTCTCCTTCCTTCCGTGGGGGGGGGGGCCTACGCTAAGTGAACTCTCAAGCAGCCACAACCCTAAACCCTAAACCCTAAACCTTAAACCCGAAACCCTAAACCCTAAACCCTAAACCCGAAACCCTCTAATCTCCCGCAGCCTCCACCGCCGAGGCCACCGAGGCCTACACAGCCATGCATTGGGGCTTTTTGGGTTTGGGCTTCGGCTTGGGATGTTTCCCCCTTATACTAACAATCCTTAGTCGGGATTCCCGTACCACCTAGCATGATCCCTACGAAGGACTGTTACAGGGATTCTAGTAACCCCCTATTATCATCCCCTGCTAGTATGAGGGGGAACATCCCAAGCTTCGGGTGTGGCAGGGGGAACCCTGGAGGTTGGGTCTATTGGTTTCGTGCGCCCACGCGCAGGCAGTTGCATCCCCCCGTGGTCCCTGAGTTTTGGTAGCTCCCCCCCTCTTCAACCCTAAACCCTAAACCCTAAACCCAAAAAAAGAAAAGGAAGCTCGAAGTGGACCCGACTCTTTCGAGGTCGCGGCCACCGCCGCTCCGAGATGTACTGCCGAAGCCTTGAAACGAATAGCAAGTTGGCATTTATGCTGTTGCTTGTCTATATCTGGACTTCAGACTCTTGCCAGCCTTCTCCCCCCAAGCGGTGATCACTCGATGGGTTCTTCTAGCGCAGGGCATCCGATACCTCGATGCCTTCGCCCTTAACCCCCTCCCTGAACCCTCAAACCTCCTACCCCCCCCACACCCGAAACCTGAAATTTGCTCGGGACCCAGCCGGACGTTCCCCCGAAGCCGCGGCTGTCCCCGTAACCCCTGGCATGCCGAAGGCGTAGGGGCGTAGGGTTCAAGGCTTGGGGCTTGTGGTTGGGACGCGGCCTGGGTTTCTTCTTCGGGGGGAGGGAGGTTTCTTTGAACGCCACAGGGCTCTCTCGTCGGCTTGCTGAATGCTTCAGCTTCAGGCTGCGTTGAGGAATGTCGAGGTTACCGTTCAAGCTTCCAAAAAGGCTGCCTCTCCAAAAACCCAAGAAGAAGAGCATAGCATGTCGGCCACCAACACAAAAGCCTCCCATCACTTACGCCCCTCCACGCGCTCAATCCTGAACCCTAGACTTTATATGCCCTTGTATGACCTTATATGACCTTGCATGACCTTGTATGACCTTCTATGACCTCAGAACACCTTATAACACCTTATATGACCTGATATGACCTTATATGACCCTAAACTCTAAACCCTAAACCCTAAACCCTAACCCCTAAACCCTAAACCCTAAACCCTAACCCCTAAACCCTAAACCCTAAACCCTAAACCCTAAACCCTAAACCCTAAACCCTAAACCCTCACCCCCCAACCCAAGCGGGCGGCTGGGGACCCTTTGGAGAGCAAGGCCATGCTCGGCGCAGCGCTGCGCGAGCCCGGGGCCGAAACACTTCCCCCGAAGAGGGACGAGCAAGCGTCGTTTTGTAGAGTGTAGGGTTTAGGGTTTAGGGTTTAGGGTTTAGGGTTTAGGGTTTAGGGTTTAGGGTTTAGGGTTTAGGCTTTGGTGTTTGGGGTTTGGGATTTGGGGTTTCGGGTTTAGGGATGTACGGTTTCGGCATTCGGGAGTAGGGGCTGAGGGTTCAGCTCGATCTCGGGGTCGCAGAAGCATGTTGATGTGGGAACCAGTAAAACCATCACAAAAGCATTGTGGAGGTTCAGATTTGAGGAGTCGTAGAGTAAAACCGTCCCGCAAGATGAGCTAACCTGGATCGGACAAGCACACAGCCGATGCTCGCGGGCAAGGTGCAGCATGTTTTTATGCCTTTACGGCAACTGGTCTGTCTGCGTGCAGGGCCCTTCACAAGTGGGACATGCTTTCACACGGGGATGATCTTGGGCCTTCTGCGTGCACCAAACCCTACACCCTCATCCACCCTAAACCTTAAGAAAGCTCTCAGGAATTCTGCGAGAATCAAAAGCGGGCTTGGGGAATACGGATCAACCCTATGACACAGGCACACCTTTCATGCCTTGACATCTTGCAAGACATTCCTGCGACAGGTTTATTGGGGCGCTCGAAGCTGAGACGTTGGCTTAGGGCTGAGGGTTTAGGGGTTTAGGGTGTTAGGGTGCTAGGGCTTTAGACTTTTGCTTAGGGTTTTAGGGTTTTAGGGTTTTTGGGTTTTAGGGTTTTAGGGTTCTAGGGCTTTAGGGTTTTAGGGTTTTAGGGTTTTAGGGTTTTAGGGTTTAGGGCTGTAGGGGGTTTTAGGGTTGCAGGGCTTCGGGTTCAAGGCGTCTAAGGTGCAGGGTTTTTGCGGGTTTCTTCAAGCCAAATCTCTGCAGAACACTCACATGACCCCAAGGCCCCTGCAGACCCGCAAACTTCCGACGTAGCTGCAGCTTCGGAGTCTGAAGGATTTTGATATATATATATATATGTATATATATGGTACCCCCCCCCCCCAGTGACCTACCCTTTTTCGCCTTGTCTCAAGTCACCCAGCTGCACTGCAAGCAAACTCGATGTGCAATATAGCGTATTTCCTAGGGCGTAGACTAAAATACAACTAAAATCGCATACACGGGACAGTAGAAAAATCAAAAATACCAAAACCAAAAAAAACCAAAAAGCCAAAACCCAAAAAACCAAAAATACCAAAACCAAAAAAAACAAAAAAAACAAAACTAAAAAAAACAAAAATACAAAAAAAAAATCCGGGACTCTCAGGAAATCCCTATGAGGCTTCTCCAAGAGTCCCGGAAAATTGGTTTTTTTGGTATTTTTTGGTTTTTTGGTTTTGGATTTTTTGGTTTTTTTGGTTGTTTTGGTTTTGGTATTTTTGGTGTTTTGGTTTTGGTATTTTGGCTTTTTGGTTCGCCTTCACGGTCGCGAGGCAACAACTACGCATTTTTTAAGTGTGCTTATGCTAATTGTGCTTTTCAGAAATAGTATACAAGTGGTCTTTCTAGTGCTTCAGAACTATTTGTTTCGTTATTATGTAAGTAGAGCCGCTAGTGTTTAGTGCATCTTTTGGTTGTACTCAAGTGTAGTAGACCTTATTCAGCCATTACTTGGTGCTCTGGTAGCTCAATTCGCATGGATAATATTTGCCTGGTTCAATGCGATTAATTATCTAGAAGCAGCATTTGCAATACTTGTCTTGAGAAAAAGCATTTATTGCTTAGAACTGTTTGCTTAAAAAGTGACTCCTACTCGTCCAGGAATACCCCAAAACCCTATAATCCAAACTTTACCAGAGATTCTCCTGAAAAGCTTGCGCTTTGAGATGTTTTTATGTATTTGTGAATTTGCTTGTGTATGGCCTTCACTAAGTACTTTTCTAGGATTCTTGTGCATTTTTTAAGCCTGATTGGGCAAGTTGCGCTTTTCAGGCATAGTATATATGTGGTCTTTATTGAATACTTCAGACATCTTTGTTTCATCGTTATGTAAGTAGAACCGCTTCTATTTCCATTATTGTGCATTTTTAAGCTTGCTCATGCAAATTGTGCTTTTCCGTAGTATATAAGTGGTCTTTAGTGAATACTTCAGCCATCTTTGTCTCATTGTCATGTAGGTAGAATCGTTTCCATTTCCGCAAGTGTTAATTTCGTATTTGGTTGAGTATGGTCCTTTAAACAGTATTCACTTGAGTCAAATTGGGCTATTTGCGTAAGAATTCCTCTAGTAGTTAAATTCGCATAGAATGAATACTTCAAAAACAATTGTTTCATGAATATGCAAACATAAGGTGTTTCATTTGACTTTGCAGATAGTACTTCAATAATACTTTGCCTGGTATAAACACAACTGTTTCAATGCATTAGTTGCTCAACAAAGCACTATTTGCCCTGTAAACCACACTTTGCCATATGTTGGTTGAATATGGTGTTTCTTTCGTATCTTGGTTGAGTATGCTCCTTTAAATGGTATTCACTTGAGTCAAATTGGGCTATTTGCTTAATAATTACTCTAGTAGCTAAATTCGCATAAAATGATTATTTCAAAAATAAAAACGATTCATGAATATGTAAACATAAGGTATTTCAGTGGACTTTTCAGAGAGCATACTTTGCTAGTACAAACACAATTGAATAAATACAGTATTTGCACTTTAAACGCACACTTTGCCATTTTTTGGTTGAGAATGGTGTTTATTTCGTATCTTGGTTGAGGTAAATAGTATTCACTTGAGTCAAATTGGGCTCTTTGCTTAATAATTACTCTAGTAGCTAAATTCGATAAGAACCAAGAAAAATGTTTCACTATTTGATTAATACTTTGCCTCGTACAAACACAATTGTATAAATAAATTAGTTGCTCAACAAAACATTAATTGCTCTTGAAACGCACAATTTGCATAGAAAAACACTGATCTAAACATCTAAAAACAGCATTGTCCGCTTCAGATTCAAAATGTAGTTTCTTCCAATGCTGGCTTATCGGGGTCTGTGAGGTGGGTGTCCCAGTAACTGTCCTTCATTACCCGGTGATTAACTACGCGACTTTTGGGCCTTCTTTGTTGTTTTTTGTTAAAAAGGCCTAAAAAGGGTAGGTCGCTGGGGGGGGGTAGCATATATATATATATATTTTTTTTTATTGATATTTATTTATTTATGTATTTATTTATTTATGTATTTATTTATATTTGTTTATTCACTTAT